TGCACATGTCAGCTCATTAAGTCATCATCTAGCTGTGAGATTATAGGTTGTTTTCTAAGACATTTAACTCCTGAAATAACCCGTGCATTGGTAAATGAAAATAATGTGGACAATGAAAAACAAATAAAAGTTATGATTCATTACCTATTTCCTATTCATAAATGTTACTGTCCAAGACTCTTAACTGAATGAAAAGGAACTTTCTCTATTTCATTTCAATTTTCTAAAATAGTAATGTCACAACAAAACTGAGCAGTTCAGTGTGGCCAGCTCTGACAGCTGGCCTCTACCTCGCTGTTGTGCTGGGCCTCCACAATCAGCAACCTGGCCTGCCACTGGTCCACCTCTGCTTCCAGCTTCTGTACTCTTTGTTGATTTAGAGACCTGAAAATAGAAAGCATAAGAAATGATTGTAAGGAAGGATACAGGAATGATGACGCTACTTGAAAGTACCAGGACACCTTTCTCTTAGAAGCTCAGATAGCATTAGTAGTAGTACCTACACCTGCTAAAAATATCAGAAAATTGATGAGTAACAATTGTTCCTTCATCTTCAGGGCAAAAAAGAAAGGCCCGAAAGGCTATAAAAATCTTGTCCCATGTGTGACTCACTTCGGGCTTAATCATTGGGGTATGAATCCACATTTTTGACTGACTTCTGGGAGGGCAATTTACCCAATGCTTTACCAGTTGGGTAAGGTTTGGCCCGCTGTTGAAATTTTTGCTTCTAAATAGCTACTTTGAAATGTATTGTGACAAGTAAACTATTTTACATGCTATTCTCTTGCCTTTTTAAAAATTTAAGGTAGTATATTATAATATGCAAAAAATAAAGATAAGCACAGTAAAGAAAATACAATTCACTTGTTTTCTCATAACATAGAAGCAATATGAACCAGTAATATACATAATACATTCCAGAGGCACCATCAGCCTCAGGCAATTTTTGTAATTTTTTAATTATTGATTTTCATTTTATGTAATTTTGAAACATTGATGTCCACTAATAAAGCAAAGCTACAGTTAATTCTCAAGATGATTAACCTAAAATCATTATTAATCTTCAAATAATAAAGTAATAAATTAATAAGTTGCTTAGCTTCAAGTTTGATGGGGGGGCAGGTGAGGGATTGAGTCTGGGCTCTAGCACATGCTCCACAAGTGTTCAGTCACTGAGCATGCTCTCTAGATCTCTAGCCCGACTTAGTTTTCTTGACATTATTCTGTAGAGCCAAGGACAGAATTGGGATTAAGTGGTGCAGAAAGTAGCAAGGTTAAAATAGTCCATGAAGTTCAAGGACATGCTTTCCTTCATGCCACTTGGACTTTTTAGAAAGCTTTTTAAGTGCAGGGTTATATCCCCTAACCTGCTAATTCTTTAAATACCATTCTAATAGTTTTTCAAATTAATGACAATAAAGAGGCTTCATGTCCTTCCTAGCCATAGCAGAAACATAAATGTGGTACCTTTCCTTTTTGAGGCCTGCGATCTCTGAATCCCTCCGCCCGAGCTCTATCTGGACTTTCTCCAGAGCTCCCTGCATCTTACTATGAGAAGCCAACACATTTTCCAGCATGATTGTGACTTTGCAGTTGTCTTCTTTAGCCTCTGCTAACTGCCGCTGAAAGTTTCCCACCTAAAAGAAAATGAGACAAGATAGAAAAGTATATTTCACTTTTGGTTCTTAAGTTATTCTGCTTTCAGAAAAAGAGAAACAGACCCTACAGTCTGTGGGAAATGTGGCAGCCTCCTGTCTGCTGCCACAGAGCAGCTCACAATTACGTGGACATACTGGGCCAACAACTTCTTTGATTCAGAGGCAATCTTGGTAAGTATGCTCAGCTGTCTTCTGATGGGCTCAGAAAAGGAGATATTAGTGAAATTATCTGAGGATAAAGACTAGGGGAGAAAGCAGAAGCTGCTAAAGAATGATGTGTCCCTCTTCAAAGGCATAACACTAGTCCCTGGCTGTCAAGAAGTTTGTGATGGGCCAGCAAAAAATGGTTCAGAGTATAGAGCACTGGCCAGTAAGCCTGATGACATGAGTTCCCTCTCTGGGACCTATATGATGGAAGGAGAGAACTAACTCCTGCAATTTCCCTCTGACCTCTACAGTGCGCCCACATACATCCACATAAAAACAAATTGTATATGATATATATATATATATATATATATATATGTATGTATGTATTCACACATAAGAAACAATTCTGTCATTTGTAGTAACATGGATGGAAGTGGCAGACATTAGACTGAGCTAATTCAGGCACAGAAAGATACATATCATATATGGTCACTTAAATGTGGAAGTTAAAACCCTGACCTCAAAGAAGTAGAAAATAGTGTCTGCTAGACTTAGGAAAGGCGGTGGAGGATGGACACAGGGTGGCTACAGTGGTGCCACTGGATAGGAGGCAACCTCCTAATGCCTTTTAAAGTCAGTAAGACAACATAGCTACCAAGAATTAGTTGAATGTTTCACATATAAACAATATAAGTAGCTAGCAAGGGATTTATGGAGTGTTCCTAACACAAAAGAATGATACATTTGAGGTGACAGGTATGCTGAGTATTCTGGTATGATTCAAGTTGTATAGATGCATTAAAATGCCATATAATATCTAATAAACACACAATTACAATGTATGAATGCCAAAGTCTAAAAAAGCTGTTTGGGAGAGGACTTCTGCTCCTGCTAAGTCTCACAGGAGCACAGGAACATCAAGGAGAAGCAGCACTGTGGTGTCATATGACTCTACACACAAAGAGGAGGCTTGACAGAATGCAGACTGCCTGTAATTCTAGCCCCAGGTCAGGGATGACAAGGAACTAAGATAGACACTCTCAGATGAACCTGGGCTACATGTTAAAAATCCACAGGAATTAGATAAGTAAACACCCACAGAAGGTGATTACCCCCCAAATCAGACAGAATGTAACAGAAAACAATCAGACTTTTTCTTGTAGTCATAGTTCATCATTATGGAAAAATTTTAAACAATGTTAGCCCTTCCTTGATCACAGTTCCCCTTTTCATGGGTGAAAAAGGAAGTTAGGGGATGTGGCTGCCAGGCTTCTCATGGCCCCTGTTGGAAAGGGCGTTCAGAGAGGACACCTTGCCTTCTTGCTTTCCCTGTCCTCCAGAGTTTCCAGGTCTCCTCTCAACTTCTGGCTCTCTTTCAAGGCAGCATCTCGACACTTCACAGCTTGGGCCAGCTCCTCCTCATTTTTCCCAAGAATGGATTTCATCTTGGAAGGAAAAAAGAAATAATGCATAACTTTCTAAAACACAACCAATCATTGATTGTAACAAGGCACCAAAATTTAGAGAACAAACATGAATAATTAAACATGCTTATCCACTTAAATAAACGCCCTAAGGGTTTACTTATGTAACTAAATTCAGTGAAAATACATACACACAAGAGTAAGACAATGGAGCTAAAAGTTTTACAACTTTTGAAAATGCAAACAATTCTAGACTAAGATAGACATAAGAAGCTTCCTTGGTAAGTCCTGGCAAATGAGAAAAGTCAGAAGAACAGAAATAAAGATAGAAAGAGGAGTGGACTCACAGGGATTAAGAGGACAGGGGTTAAGTGCAGGAAACAGAATACTGACAACCAAAAAGAAGCAAGCAGCACAGGCCTTCAGTCTGACATCCTGGTTAGCATAGGGGAATCAGAAGCACTGTCCAAATGGGAAGCCAGCAGAGCAGGCCTGTACCGAAGCACAGGACAAGCCTCTGACCCACTGAGACCTCTGCTGTGATAGTGACTGTCTCTATTTTGCTACTCCCCATCAGAATACATTCTAAGAATGGAGCTGTTCACCGGGAACTTTGAGTGCTTGTGAGATTACTCTAAGAAAACAGACAAAAGTCTCTAGTGACCTCAGTTTCTTCAAAATTTGGAAGTATTCTTGGAATGTGTTTTGTGAGATCACTTTCTTCATTATAGACAACTTATTTGTTTATATACCTCTATGAAAAAACATGTTTTTACCATGTGTGGTTTGTCTTTGTGATTCAACACCATACCATGTAATTCTTAACCCTCAGAGTATAAACCATCTGATGTTCTGACTAAAGTTGGCTATTGGATGAGACTTTAATCTGTCTTATTTTTAGGCCCTTCTCTCCCCGCTTCAGGCCACTAACTAGAGTGGTAAACAGCTCCTCAAACCTCAGAGTGTCTTGACTATGAGCCATTTAGAGAGGGAAACTATTGGTTAAGATTGTGCTACCCTCTTCCCCCACCCAGGGCCTAATAAAAGGACCAATCAGAAGCCAAGGGACCTGGAGAGGAGTTCAAGTAACAGGAGGCTCTCCCCGCCCCCAAGGCAGTGAAGGGTACAGTGAATGACAGTGTTGAGTGCTGGGACCTTAGCCCATCACTTGAGCATGAATGAAGTCTCATAGCCCTGAGCTTGATGTCAAGGTGGACGCATCCTTTAGAGTCATTCGTCTGAGGTGGGGGTTCCCTGATGGTAATACCAACTGCTCTGTGGAGTCCTGCACTTCTTCAGCCTCACCCTTCTAAGCTGCGGTGTTACGAGGGCGTCCAATAAGATAAGTCTTATAAAATATATAGATTTATGATAATTGAGACTGAGCTAACAGATGAGAATCCTAGTCATTGGCCAAGCAGCTTTGTGCCTAATACAAGTCTCTCTGTGCATTAATTGGGGCCCTACCTCAGGCAGGCAGCTGGCATAGAGCATGGCCAAGCAGCTTTGTACCTAATACAAGTCTCTCTGTGCATTAACTGGGGCCCTACCTCAGGCAGGCAGCTGGCATAGAGCACACATGTGACGGTGGGGCTCGGTGGCTTTTGGTGTAAAGATTTATCGTAACACTGCGGGTTAACCCTGAATAGGGTTTTGAAAGCAGGAAAGCGGTCCTTATGCAGATCTTAGTGCTTTGCTAGCCTGCCACACTCTAAAACTCACTCAGCAGTCTTCCTTTGGCTGCAACACTAGCAACCTAAGGACAGATGAACTAGAGTCTTTAGGGTATAGGGAAATCTGCTGGGACAGGATTCAAAGCATGGACTCTGGTACACAGGGGATGGGCAGTCCTAAAGTGAAGACAACTCTGATACCAATGCAGCCTGACGGGTCCTGGTTCAGCACTGTTCACAATGCTGAACAGTGTTAGAAATGAAAAACTCAAATAAAAACCACCAAAGAAAGCATAAGCCATAGGTTTGATCAAACAACTGAAAGAATATTAATGGGCTAGATAGAGAACTCAGTGGGTAAGAACACCTGCCATGCAAGCATGAGGACCAGAGTTTCAATTCCATTATCTATGTGAAAGTCAGGCATGGTTATATATGCCTGTAGCTCCAGCCCTGGTGGGGAGAAGCAAGCATGCTAGCCAACTGGCATAGCTGAAAGGGAGAGCTTCAGGTTCAGACAGAGGCCTTGCCTAATGGGAATAGAATAGAGAGTATAGAGGAAGATGCTCCATGTACTTCTCTGACTTCTGCATGTACATATATGGGCATACATATGTCCCCATATATGTACACACCCACACACACACACACACACACACACACACACACACACACACTATACCACACATGCAATGTACAACACAACAAAAGAAAAAA